TTACCATTTGTATTCATATTTAAAATTGTAACAATTGAAGTCGATCCAACGACTTTCAGATATTTTTATAGTATTCATTACATAGTTTACCTCCAACTGTTGGCTTATTAAATATAATTAATAATAAAATAAAATACTGTAAAAACAGACAATTTTAGATTTAATCTATTGCTACAGCTATAAAAATCGTTAATAAATGTTTACTTTTTATACCTAAACGAGTACTATAGAACTAAATAACAATTTAAGATATGCTATATAAATAAATTAAAAAAAATATCGATTATCATTGAAATACTTGTATTGCTTAGTCAAAAAATAAAAACGCCATGGTAAATTAATAAAAAATATTAAATAAGGCTTATTAGGCATATTAACATCATATATTTATGGAATATCGTTTAAGGAAAGTACATAATATTATATATCATTTGTCAGACAATAACAACAGTTACCTTGTTAACAAACAGTTATTTCATCATGTCGCTTTTTGGCTGTCGGTGTGGGCGCGCATCGTAAAAATTTTTCTCTCACATTTTTTTCCAAACGTCCCAAAAGGAGTATAATTTAAAAAAAAATAATTTATGTATTATTTAAATTATAATTGTGTATATTTATATTATAATTGATGTTTGTAGTTTGTACCTACACCGCACCGCATTATTATTTTTATATTTTCTCACGCTTGAGGGTTTCTCGTAGAGATCTCTTAAAGAGATAAGTCATCCTTTGTACACATGGTATCTGTTTTCACTTATATGATTTTTTTTCTGGAACACAAATAAATAAAAAATAAAAATAAATGGACAATTACCTATCGACGACACGTTTGGCTCAGTTTGTAGTGTGTACCCTACTTGCTGTGCCAACGGTCGCGGGTTCAAGTCCCGCTGGGGGCATTCATTTGTGTGATGACGAATGTTTGTACTCCAGTCATGGGTGTTTATATTTATAATATGTATGTATTAACTGCCTCGGTGGTGTAGTGGCTAGCATGTACGGCTGCACACCCGGAGGTCCTGGGTTCGAGTCCCGGGTCGGGCCAAGTTTAATTATTGAGTCTTCCTGTATAGTAAGTCTCAGTAACAGCCCGGAGTTGGGAAGTTGACGGTGTTTCACCCCCGTGCCTCGGAGAGCACGTAAAGCCGTCGGTCCTGCGCCTTAACTCTCACCGGTCGTGTCGAGCAGTCGGCCCACCGGAGTATGAGAGTGACAGGAATAGAGAGTGCACTTGTGTCTGCGCTTGCACTTGTGCACTATAATATCCCCTGCGCAGTTGGCTAGTCTCAATGAGATTGGCCGCCGTGGCCGGAATCGGCTAGGAGAACACCATCATATACTTACTTGTATTTTTAATTCGGACAGCTCGAGTGTTATATAATATTAAATAATTGATTTTAGTTCGAATAAACAATTGCTTACTCCTTAACACATAAACTTTTGCTTAAGAAAAAATACTAACTGGATTATATGTGCCCATATATCTATAATGTATGTATATCTATCTATTTTCGTTGATGCGTTTTTGCGTTGATTACGGTGATTGCATCATTGCTATCTATGTAATATATGCATTTGCTTGTCGTATGTTAGCAATCATCGTATAGGAAATGCTGTTAGGGAGTTATAACATGGACATTGAATTTTCACAATTACCTCTCCCTCCCTCTCGACATGTAGGAAAGTCCCTGATTCACATATATATTCAGCGCGCATGAGCCTTAACCCTATGCCATACGCTTCATAAAGAAAAAAAGGATTGTATAATAAAGTAAGTGTTGCTAACTTCGTTCTCATTAAAAATATATTTTTTCGATGATTATAAATATGTCTGATTTACTTACGGCATTACAACCACTATGTTGTTGTAACTTGATGCATAATTAATCCTGAAATAAGAATAAAAAGTATCTTAGATAAAGGAAAAAGAAAGTTAAAAGTTCTTTAATGGTAGAATAGACTGATAGAGAGATAAGTACAATAAAAAATCTTAATAATAGTTTGTTAAGAGAGCTTATTAAAATTAAGCGCGAAAGCTCACTAAAGCTTAATAAATTAAAAAAAATATCTATATTTTAAACCTCCTCTTGTCTAGTTTTTTTGTTTATTTTTGATTATAGTGTAGATCATACGACTATACATATGTACTTCGCATATCCACTAGAGGTCGCAAGATCGATTCCCTTCTATGGCGATGTAACTCAACAAAAATATTTCAATACTATCAATTCATGACATTAAATTATGATTAAAAATAAAATGATGCGATATTATTTTTAGTTTTGCACTATTTACAATTACTAATATCTCATAGGTATCCAAATACCAGAATTAGATAGATTAGAGAGCAAAGGTACTAAAAACTATAATACGTGGAACAGTATAACTGGAGTGGATTGACATAATGTTTAGAAGTAAAAGACAAAATGAACACATATGTACATATATCAAAAAGTCCTTTTAATAACGGTATGCATAGAAATATATTTTTTAATTTTAAAAATTACCATTTGTATTCATATTTAAAATTGTAACAATTGAAGTCGATCCAACGACTTTCAGATATTTTTATAGTATTCATTACATAGTTTACCTCCAACTGTTGGCTTATTAAATATAATTAATAATAAAATAAAATACTGTAAAAACAGTCAATTTTAGATTTAATCTATTGCTACAGCTATAAAAATCGTTAATAAATGTTTACTTTTTATACCTAAACGAGTACTATAGAACTAAATAACAATTTAAGATATGATTTATATATATATATATATATATATATATATATATATATATATATATATATATATATATATATATATATATATATAAATAAATTAAAAAAAAATATCGATTATCATTGAAATACTTGTATTGCTTAGTCAAAAAATAAAAACGCCATGGTAAATTAATAAAAAATATTAAATAAGGCTTATTAGGCATATTAACATCATATATTTATAGAATATCGTTTAAGGAAAGTACATAATATTATATATCATTTGTCAGACAATAACAACGGTTACCTTGGTAACAAACAGTTATTTCATCATGTCGCTTTTTGGCTGTCGGTGTGGGCGCGCATCGTAAAAATTTTACTCTCACATTTTTTTCCAAACGTCCCAAAAGGAGTATAATTAAAAAAAAAAAATTATGTATTATTTAAATTATAATTGTGTATATTTATATTATAATTGATGTTTGTAGTTTGTACCTACACCGCACCGCATTATTATTTTTATATTTTCTCACGCTTGAGGGTTTCTCGTAGAGATCTCTTAAAGAGATAATTCATCCTTTGTACACATGGTATCTGTTTTCACTTATATGATTTTTTTTCTGGAACACAAATAAATAAAAAAAATAAATAAATGGACAATTACCTATCGACGACACGTTTGGCTCAGTTTGTAGTGTGTACCCTACTTGCTGTGCCAACGGTCGCGGGTTCAAGTCCCGCTGGGGGCATTCATTTGTGTGATGACGAATGTTTGTACTCCAGTCATGGGTGTTTATATTTATAATATGTATGTATTTAAAGTTATATATGTGTAGTGTATCAACTATCTGGTATCCATAACACAAGCCTCTTAGCTTACCATGGAACTACTACTAAACTAGATGGTGCTGTGTGTTAATGTCCTAACTTATTTATTTATTTATTTACCTATGTACATTGATAGAGTATTCAACCACAAGTCTGCGTATCGGGACAGTAAAAACTACATAAGGCGATCATGACATTGGCTTCGGCTCAGCATGTTTAAATTGCTATGGTTACTTAAATGTAAATGATACTTTAAGTTGTTTTCTTATGTGTTGCCACGCAGTAGGTGAGAGTACTAATATACATTTTAATCGTCATTTTCGACGCCTGATCTGCCCTCTCTTTGGTTTTGATATCGATTTCCAGTATTAATAAACAAGAGTCAACATAATTTATTCAATTCTTATCATGAGATATTAATGAAATGCTTAAACAGAATTATGAATTTACTATATCGTATTACAAACGATTATGAGACCTTTAACACTGAATGACTGTAAATTTTCGATTTAAAAACTTTCTTGTCGTTCGATAACATATATCAAATTATAATAACTTTTTTATCTAAAATGTAACATTATTTTTAATCGAATTTTATAAATTTGAAATTTTATATTACTTTAAATACTTTTTTTTTATTTAAGGAGGAAGTTATCGAAGGTTTATGCTTATAGGTACTATTTACTATTTCTCACCCATAATATTTAATTTAGTTTTTAAGAATTGTTAAGCTACAAATGAAAAATCCTGATATTATACACCATTATTTTTAATGCGTTGAACACAGGAAAAAATGTATTTTTATCTTTTTTTGCTAAAAGTATAGACAGCAACAGAATATTTGCAAAAAAAAATGCGTTAAAATGTTTATTATGTTTGTCAAAGTCAGTTAACAAGAGCGGTGACAATAAGCAAAATGGTAGAGTGCGATGGACGAGGTGCGATGACATTGGTTCTTTATAGCCAGCGATGCTATCCGCGCAGCTTGACTTTGTTTTTACGACACCATAACCTCGACTATTTATGGAGTGTATTTAGCATAGGTCTGCATCACAATTCCTTCCGTAGGGCCCAATACTTGTAAGCGTTGGACAGTGCGCGCGCGCTCGTGATCATTGTGTTTGGTGTACGCCGCGTGGGACGCACCTACTGGTTATCGAACACAGTATCAATAAATTGCACTTGCGTCCGTCGTGTTGCGCAAATAAAAGAACCAGAGTACTACGTGCTATCGACGAAAGGTCTAAATAAATTTGAATATGTACTTATTTGTTGTTCACTTTTGTAGATATCATCATCGACCCTGAATCGAGCACAGAAAATAAAGTTTACTCTGATATATTTCAATATCGTTATTGCGTTGCGATCGCGAGACGAAGGTTCATTTGTTTTAAAATAATAACTGCATGAACTGATCCTTTCGCGAAGAACTTTTGAAATTCTCCTCTCAATGTTTGCGTGTGGTTTATTTTTAATATCGAGTAACAATCGAGTATCGAGGCTTAACGAGCAATTACGATTTGCCTGTCCATGTGGTTGGGATGCAGACTGGGCATCAATTAAATCAGCCCTTGTATCGAAATCGTGCTGTGTTATGACTTATGAATATTCACATGTATCAAGACAAGAGTCACGCCCTCTCGTGGACCTGCTGAACATAAAAGATGTCCAGGTGGCGGATTGAATAGCGCCCATTAGAAGCCATTATATGCCAATAAATAATGCGAGAGACGCTCAGACTATCGGCCCTAGACTAAGATTGTGTCGTAATTCAACTTAATGTTATAGGTCTTAGTAATATGTAGTACAATCTCTATACATTGTAGATATTTCAGCGCGGTTAATTCATATTTATATCGAACAAAACAGCAACGATATAATATCAACTCTAGTATCTTTATATGTATGTTACATGCTAATGATCTCACCCATTATTTTAATAGATATAACCCAGTACCATAAAGTGCTTAATTAACAAAGAAGTATAATATGTAATAGTGATCATAATTATTATTTACGTATCATATAAATACTATATATATACTATGTACTTGCATAATTATTATATTTGGTACATTGTTACTGTACCTACTACTTTAAAATAATATACGGGATAGTTTTCAACGTAGTCATTTGCTGATAAAAATACATAAATGTTCAGTAATAAACTTTCATATGAGATTGGATCGTAATTGTTTGGATACAAGACAGATATAAGACACTGGGTTATATATATATATATATATATATATATATATATATATATATATATATATATATAAGAAATCGTAGAGTCTTATGTCATTGCTATATAATTTTGATTTTAGATTGCAGAATACCATTTGGTCCAAAGCACTGAGTTCGTGAAGAAAATTTATTGATAATATATATTTTATTTTAACGTCGCAGTGTGATAGATCTAGGGTTTAGGACTTTTCGTAATTTTAGGTGTCTCGAGTCTCGGAACTTTCGGCTGATTGCTTTAATATTATATTTTGTTTCAATTCGTCCCTCGAGTGAGCGCGGTGTCGGTTTCCATTGGGCCCATTACCGTGGCCGGCGCATAAAACGCTTGAAGCTATGACCACCGCGAGGATTGACGCCCTCAGCGCAAAGAATTGCAAAAAGTTATACTTCGCAATTACATACACTTTAAGAATAAATATTATGTGTTAAAATAACGAAATAACATTAATAAGTATATTATAAAATAGCATGAATTTAATAGGATAAAAAGATAAACTTTATTTGTTTTTAAATATTATTCAATTCAGTAGTTTAAACACAATTTGGCTATAAGCAAGTCAGCAAAGCGTACAATATAAAGTAATTTTTAAGGTCAATATAGTATAAAGAGTGTCAAAATCCGTTGTGGTCCAGTTATTAATTTAAATATAGTTAAAAGAGTCGCAAGAAAAGAATTGAAATATATAAAGAAAATCTACTATAATACCTATATATTTGACAACCTTTTCATGTCATCAATAACAAAATAGTTAAGAGGCTCACGAATATTTATTTCTTCAAATTTTTGCTTTTATGAACTGAAATATCGATAATACTTAAAAAAACAATGAGCCTGTAACTTTGTTGTTATTGATGATATGAAAAAGTTGTCAAATACTTTTTTATAGGATTTTAAACGTACTACAAATTTGCTATTTAATATTTTTCTCTAACTCTTAAAGTTTAGCTAAAAAATGCAAAAAACCGTAAATTTGAACTTCAAAGCCATATAACAAATCAAATATTGAAGATAGAAATTCGACTCAATGGAACTTTTTGTAGTAAATTTAATACTAAAAACGGTCCATTTATTCATTTTTTTGAAAAATATTTTCGTCACAGTTTGCAGGACAAAAAAGTGTTAAAAATCATATTTTCCATCTAATTTGTATGGGAAAATTAAAAATTCGACGGAGAACCTCTTAGAATTGGAATTTTTAGCTCCAATTTTAACAGGAGCTTTGTTGGGACATTTTCTGACATATTTTGGGGTGAGAGCAAGGAAAAAATATCGTCATTTTTTGGCACAACCTAATATTACCTTCAACTTGCAGAAAATTAAGTCGATTGATCGCAATAGGCGCAATCGGCACATTCATATTTATCTTGTGTTCGGAGAAAGAAAATATTTTGTTAGCGTGTGGGTGAATGATTTATTCTTCTTATAATTCTGCTATTTTGTCAATTCGACTTTGCCAATAAGTAATTTGGGAACCAAAAAAATTATAATTGCTCTGAGCTCGCACCTACGTCTTATCTGTCAATAGAAATATCCCACATTGACATCTATTAAGAATTTTGCTCCTCTTTTTGAATAATAGAAAGCAAAAGTTTCCATCGTCTCAGTGGAATTATGGAATTTTTGCTTTATCATATAAATATATAAGAATTTAACAATAAAAATAACTCTAAGAGGATTTAGTTTTAAAAAATATGCACTTCATAAGTTAAGTAATTTAAACATTTATCTATTACTATATTTTAAAATTATGTTGGTATATAAAAAAAAGTATTAAAGAGCCAACTTTCTTTATAGGTACAAAGAGAATCTTACATTTGTAGTAGGAACTAGTAATGGTTTCTGTAATACGAGTGAGTTAAGTTAAAGACAGCTGTTAATGTTCCTTCCTTAATCCTTTGAATATTACTTAGAACGATAATGATATAAAGTGTGTCCTTACATACACGTACATAATGTAAAACTGTTGTATTATTGATTGTTTATCATGCACTTTTAATAAAAATATTTATAACATTAGTGAAATATATCCACTAATTTTTACTCCAATTTGGTAACACGGTAGAGATATTTACAAATTTCATTTCGAAAATTCTAATTATATTTTATTATACAAGTATAAAATATCGTTTAACTTATGATCGTATGCAACGATAGAGATTGTCGCCCGCTGTAGCCCCAATTAAATGTAGTAACACATCAAACCAGTTCCGGCGTCTTCGTCTGCGCCCGTGCCGGTTTTAGTGAAGTACTCGGTTGCGGCCGCGCGCCCGATTGCCTCCACTAATCGCACGCATTCATTTGAATCTATTTAGGTAAACGGGCGCAACGCCGCGTTCACCACAGGAATGTGACGCTCGCGCTGCGGCAATTACGCATAACGTGGCCAATAATGTAGCCTACTCAGCAAGAAGCTGTATTTTCGGAGTAATTCAGCCCATATGATAGACAATGATCTAAGATTACACCTTGACTAATACATAAACCGCATCGGAGTTTGTGTGGTGCGTATAAATTATGGAGTGCACTCGGAGATATTGTGTTTCACGTCCGGCGGTTTAGACATGGGCCGAGGATATCTGCGTGAAAAGGGCGAAATATTGCAGAAATTTCAAACTCGACAGGACAGCATTCGATTCGTCGTGGTGTAGGATTTCATTGCGCTATATCGCGTCTACCTCGTGGCTGATACAAGGCTCATGAGCCTTTACAGCCATGCTTTACGCGACGCGACGTTTATTGATAGTAATTTATTAATATAACACCTATAATATTCTATAGATGGAGTTATAGTAATGAGTGAAGTTATTTAGATTTCTTTAGAAATGTTACTGAAAAATTTAATGATAATTTAAATTTCAATAGATTAATTTTTAATTTAAATTATCTTATGTAGTCAGTCATATGGTAATGGAGGTCACCAATACCTGAATAATTATTGTTTTGTAAGTTTGTGCAATCTTTGTAGGTCGTGACCGATTATTTTAAAACGCGGTTAGAAAGAGAGGGATCTGATGTGGATGATACATAATAGGTCCCTATACCATACGAGCGCTGTCACAATGAAAACTAGTAGTAATCCTCTACATCTGGAATGAGTTTATATATATATATATATATATATATATATATATATATATACATAGTTCACAATTCTATTTTACAAAATTATAGAAATTAAGAAAACAAGTATCTTTATACTTTACATTTTTTTATACTTTTAAGATCTTTTATATATGTTCATATATCTACCACCACGATAATTGTATGCTTTATTTGATTTAACTTTTCTTATTTATAAACGCATTTGCAGCTCGCGTCGTCAATATCGTCGCGAGATGCTATCCGGAGTATTGTTAATCCGGTAATTTGAATTTATTGCACCGTGAATAAATGGTGCACCGGTTATCGGAAAACGTATCGACACCGCACCCGTGTACTTAGTTCGCGCTTACCTTCAGTTCATCCTGCCACATTGCTCTTAGATGGTTCTCAGTTTTAGACGGTGCAATGCACATGTTAAGCGATTGTTTTAATATATGACTAACCGCACTAATTTATATGTTTACTTATTTTTTTCACAAGCATTTATATACTTTTTTATATGTAAAATTATTTGAAACTAAAGCCGCAATCATGTTTCGTTACATCAAATACATCTTTACAACGTTGAATACTAAGACAGGGAAGTAGTTTATCTCGAGCATTCCTTGTAAGAGATGTGATTGTTTCTCCTTAACGGGCTAGCCGGTCTAATCGGAACATCCCCAGAGTCGGCTGACTTCAGGCAATGGCGTTAATTAGACTCCTAGTTCATTCTACTGTATCAAAGACATGAGCGGCTCGCGAGGTCAGATCGTAGTTCCCGGACAAAACTCAGGAAGTGTTCTATTATCTTCACTTACAAGCTAAAACCTTCCCAGAGATGCTGCAACGGTATTATGTTTTAGCGGACTGCGACCTGTCCCGAGGAGTGGACCAGCAATCAGGAATCATTATTTACGGACAGCTATTATCACCTCATGGCTTTTCTGGTTTATTATCGGCATTGCTCGTTATGTTGTCCTGAGACGGATAAATTATGCTATTAAGTTAGCAGATTGACAAAGTTATTTATGACAATAAGTGGGAGTGCGCTGAGAGGTGACTTTGAGATGTGAAAAGCTTAGTTTAAGTTTCGTACAAAGGTCATATTATATTAAAAGCATAGTTCTAGAAGCATCTATGTGTTTTTTTCATGTCATAACTTTTAATCTAACATTTTATTAAATAATTTCGAATTTCATTTCATTGTTCAAAAATTTTGTTTGTTGACAGGTGTCGGAGGTAATTTTTATAAATTTAATATATTTAAACGAGCAATTCTTGTATATATATATAATCTGAATTTCGGAAACGGCTCCAACGATTTTCAAATTTAGTATACAAGGGGTTTC